ATAATGTTAAACATGAAAATATTTTCGTTTTAGATATATTCTCCATTAACCTCACCTCTACCTACTTCTCAGACCGTTCAAAAACTTACTTATTCCCCTTGAAATTTTTTTTGTCAAACAATCATAATAGATCGAAATTGCTGACTTCTCTTCTTCGTCATCTGTAAATTACCCGAAGCTCCTTTTTCACATTTGGGAGCAAATAATAAACCGAAGAAGCTAAATCTGGACCATATAGAGGCTGCTTTGAGTTTCGAAGCCACACTTATGTAAGGTAGCCATCGTAACATGATTCTTGTGAACGGGTGCTTTGTTGTAAATGAAGCACATCTCGAGATATTTATAAGCGATCAATAAAAATTCCCTCCGAATCCCAGCCGATCATGACACCTTAAACTACTAAGGTAGTGCTGCGCCTCCTTTCTGCCACTGTATAGACTTCTGCTTTGATTTAGATTCATATTGATGAACTCAAGTTTCATTCCTAATCACAATCAATCACATATCAATGATTTCGTCCCTTTTTTCACTACACAGGTCCAAAAAAACTCGCGCGAACACTCGACCCACTGTTGTTTTTGAAGCAGTGTGAGCATTCTTGACACTTCTCCTGAACTGATGATGACCAAGATGATCACGAAGAATATTTAAAGCGATCGTAGATGATACTCCAGTCATTTCAGCGATCCAGCTTATTCTCCAGATGAGGATCTTCAAATTGCCTCAATCGGTCAGCGCTGATCGTCATCAATTAGTTTCTACCCAGTTTGGTAAGGCTATGTCACTTATAAATTCACCGTTTTTCAAGGGCAAGTATCCCCGTAAACAAATAACATCTCTTTCATAATGACATGGGGTGTTTTGCTTAGAAGAAAGAAAGAGAAAAGAAACTTAGTTATGGCACGCTTTCATTTCTCGATTCACTTGATTGAAACTTGCTATATATTGAGTCATCAAGTAGTGACAGTAAAAAAATCTACCCTCCTCATTTTAATCCCTCCATTCCGCGAACGTTTAGACCCGCACTCGCGTACCACGTTAAAAATCGTAATGATCTTCAAAAAACTTCGGTTGAGCTGTCATATTCGGACTGCAACTGCAACCATAAACCCCGAACAGGCTTTACCCCTTGAATTGGGTCTCATTTTGGATTCCTCTGTGGTCGGATAAAAAAAAATGTTGGTAACAAGATCTGCTATTGTTAAACAATTATGTACTAGGTTTAAATCAAAAAGGCACTAAGTCCGACCATCTTAATCCTATATGTTACCCTTATAGCCTGTCAGAAGTCTACTGCTGAATATCCGCCTCTCCCATAGATTGCTTCATAGTGGGGATATTTGCACACTTGTTAGGTAGTAGGGTTGACAATCGCAGTTTTTATTTTTAGTTATTATTAGGAAGACTGCTCATTTCCTGTTTTATCACCTTCTGTCGCCTCTTACGACACCTACGGGACGATATGGGGTAGTGGATTTCTCACAACCATAGAGTACTATAATACACAATAGAATGGCTGTCAAGTTTATTTTATACGAGGCTTGGCATCGCCAAACCCGATTCGCTGTGTTGACACACTAAGTAAATTTACACATTTTAGACTTTTGAATAATGTTCCATATCATCATTAAGTTTTAATACATATTTATTTGTGGGTGCAATTTGGCATTTTCTAAATAATTTGCATGCGAAATTCGGAAACGATTGTAACGTCAAAATATCTCGTGCTGACATTTACACGTGTGAATTGACGTGTTAGTGACATTTTAGTGGATTTTTTTTATAGGAAAAGGGTGACAAGCGAGCACACAGTCCACTTGATTGTAAGTGGTTGCTGAGGCCTATAGACATCTGCGTCTATCCTCGTTTGCGAATTAAAATGAAGATGCGTTGTCAGCCTTAGGACTAAGATGGAATGCCTCTTTTCCAGTAAAAAGGGTCTCCGGTTCTCTACACTCACTATACGAAACCCAGCAGCATTAAGCTTCTATTTGACGCTGGTATTCTGTGAGAGCGTGGTCCTTCCCCGGTCGAGCCGACCCACTCGTGCTACAACTATACAATTAATATAGCTGCAGCATGGCTCTACCACGTAACGTATATAATAGAACGTTCTATTATGTATGTGTATGTGTAGGTTCGACTGTTTTGATCACAGAAATCGTAATAATGAGACAATAGAAATGAATCAGCGCTCGATTACTTCCAAAACCGATGTCGCCACATCTAAACACATTAAGTGACTGATGCCTGAAGCTGTATTATAAACATACGCTGCGCACAATGATATCTAATGTTTCACATTACATTGCTTGGCGAGTTTTTCAAAGTCGCATGCGTCGCGTATTACAGTAGAATGAAAGCAGCTATGGTAATTAATGGTAAGTAAATACGAAAAGTTATGAAAGTTTACAAAGGTAAATATTATAATAAAGTATTCATCTAGATGTAAATTAGTTAAAACAATGATATATGATAGTTGATAATTGTAACAATGATAGTTGAATTACACGTCCTTGATGAGTTTTTACTACTGACTATGCTGCAGTTCACCATTATAATATCATAAATTCACGTACAACGTTCCCCGCGCAACTAAATCACAAAATGATGAATGATGTTCGTCAACACATCATAGCGGCGACAAGGTCACGCGTCTACGCGACTTCTATTGTCTTATTATTATGATTTCTGTGGTTATGATAATCCTTTCTATTAAGGTGTTTTAAACAATGAAGTGAATAAATATATAAATTGCAGGTTCGACGTGCTGCTTTGAAAAAGCTTTTACTCAAAGACTTTTTGGAAGAAGACTGCGAGCTAAGAAACATTGGCCTTTCTTACGCGCCTGCTGATCTTTAAAAGTGTCATTGACATGTATAACATTTTTTAAAGTACTAGATTATTGTATTTTTGATATATTTTATTATTTTTTATTTACCCTGCAAACTTAGACCAATTAAGAAATATAGACGAAGCGTTGCCTTCATTCTAAGTGACGCCCGAAACCGAGCTAAGACTACGCTCAACTGAATTTTAAGAACACGCACATAACCATGCATACACATGTATCTGAAATCATTTTCAACAAGTGAGGGTATCCACAATTTTTTCTGCCACCACGGCGGCGTCACTTACAATGAGACAAAATATTTGACTGTTTACATGACCACGGGGGATTTCCTTAGTTTTTTGAAAAGGGAATTCTGCGTGCTCTCTTTTTTTCTAATTTAATTTTCAAATAAGGAACAAGGAGAAACGTATTGAAAGATGTTGCGTGTAATCTATGTGTAGAGTTTTAATGAAAAGTGGTCGTCTTTGGTCTCTTTATGCTGTGCCAAATATGAGAGTAAGTACACTCTAATCTTCCAATTTACTAGAAAAATTACATGCCTATTGAATTAGTATTTTGTGTGACGTTATTTCACAAGATATAACGTCTTAAAGTAGTTTCGTTCTCAATGATAGCAACAATCGACATCCCTATACTCGTTTTTATTTTTTATTTGTTTATCATATATCTAAAAATATAAAGAAAATAGGACTGGACTTATTATTCGAGCGTAAAATTGTGGTCATAATTCGTGGCTACACCTAAGAGTTTCAACTATGACCATTATTGTTGAACAATCTGTCGTAAGTATATTACTTTAAAAACTTCAAAGAAAAAGAAATTCTTTATCAATAATCTCCAAAATTATTGATAAAGAATTTCTTTTTCTTTGAACTGGTTCGAAAAAAAAACCTCTGTCCTAGGAAAAACCAGCAAGAAACCCAGTGGGATACGCTATGGCTACTTCCTTCCGATTCGCCGGTGGCCCGTGTCGCTCTATGTATATTGACGGCATATACATATATACGGCATATTCTGTATATATTACTCTACTCTATGATTGACGGTCAAATAAAGTACATATTGTTGTTTTTACGTTTTGCCAATTAAGGTAGGCAGAGGTCTTAGAACTTACAGCCTTGTCTGATGTATGTATATTTACTATTTTTTTTAGAATACACACTATCACTATCAAATCACTAGTAACAATAACATCGTTTGTTTTAACAGTTCACAGGCGCAGATTAATACATAAAATCACACCACGTTAACATATCAATTTTTCCAAAATCCAAATTTAATATTTATACATAATTTTCATTCAGGAACATACATCCGCTGACAGTAAAGTCCACAACACACACCTCATAAAATTGATGTTTAGAGTGAAATTATCAGTAGGCTCAATATAATAGATTATTATTATCTCCATATCCTATTCATATTTAACGCGCATGGTAGCAATAGACAGTTTTAATAATGCTCTTAGTTATGTACTTTCTTCCTATAACATACGTATTTTATTTATAGAAGTGGCGGCAGACGAGCTTGCGGCTCACCTGATGGTAACAACCGCCGCCTAAGAACAGCTGAAACACCTGACGAATTGCAAGTGCGTTGCCTTGAAAGTACCTAAGTCCTAAGTGCCGTACGTAGTCTACGAATGAACCTTTAAAACTGCCGAGGCGTCGAAAACAGATATTTTCACATATACGCAAACTTCGGGCCGAGGCACAAAGGCTGTTCCAACTTAAACCCGGATAGGAAATATACGGTATCAGTGAAAAATTTCACTACCCCATATCGTCCCATGGGTGTCGCAAGAGGCGATGGAGGGAAACCGAAACTGGAGATGGGCGGCGTCTTCCTGATACTGAACTGAAGCTAATAAAAAATGGATGTTGCTAACCCGTCTGCTGAGTGTGGAAACTATTTTTAAATTCTTTCTCTGGGGCAATCTATGGGGGAGAACTATGTTGATAAATGGACTTTTATCTTTTATAGGCTGTATTGAAAAAAAAAATTCCTTTAGTTACCTGTACGTATAACGAAATGTGGAAGTAATGAACACTTCTACTTTATACTAGTATACTGTGAGGTCGTGCTACACGTGGCGGTGGATAGGATTAAAAAGAAAAGGTAATAGGGGCAATTTATTTAATTTCAGATTGTATTATCGCATTCAAGGAATATTTCAAAAACAAAGCCATATACATTCCTCCAACCATGGCTCGGGACTGGATTGTTGACAAGTACGGGTGAGTGAGTGACAGAGTACCATAATTATACAACGCTACTTGCAATAATAATTCGATAATCTAATTATAAGTAATAATGACAACGCGGTACTTTTAATATAGAATGTTAAATAACTATTAATAAATAACTATTTATACTAATAATAATCATATTAAATGTACTTATAATTAATCACTAGTGTTGTATAGAAATAAACTTTAATTTAAATATTTGCATGCCAAAAAGGTAGAATAAAATATCTTTTATGTACTACGTCAACACGTTATTGTAAATACCTACATTCAATGCAAATATATCAATATTCTATTTTATATTCTAACGTGTTATGGACGCCATACACGGCCAGTTCAACTGATCAGTTGAAATGATCAATTCAATCTAAAACTGTTGATATTTTTTTAAATATTTAATTTTCGATATATTGATTATTATAAATGCATCAATATTGGAGTTTTATATATAAGTTTATTTATCGATATATCGAAAATTCAATACTTAAAAAATATCAGCAGTTTTGGTTTGAACTGATCAGTTGGAATGATAAGTTGAACTGAACGTGTGTTGCGAGCATAGGACAGTGTAGCGTTATATGGAAAGTCTTCACTGCTGCATTAGAAAGACGTTTGAGTAAGCCGAAGTGCTAATGAGTTAGATATATTTATATGAACCGACAACGGATGGGGAAGAATGGTTCTTGAGTGGTAACATTGGGAGGGGGGTGGGTAATTTGCATGCCATCAAACCATGAATAACCATTTTTAAGTCTCTCAGTCTGTGTATCTGGGCTTATCTTCGGAATGGCTCAACATATGGTACTGAAACTTCACTAATAGATAAAGAGCAATGACAAACAGGCACACAGTCCACCTGATAGTAAGTGGATGCTGTAGCCCATAAATATCTATATTTATCTTAGATTAAAAATCAGAAGGCCGATGCGATTTCACCCCGGATGACTGACCATATATAATAAAAAAGCCGACTTAGGAAATTACCAGCTTAATTTCAAGACCCTTGCTAGAACAGACAGATGTAAAATACGAAGATCTGTGATAAGGTGCAAGTTCAAAGCTGCTAGATGGTTAGAACAGCGATCGTTATTCCACCAGAAAGGTGAATGTAACGCCAAGTCGGATTTACTTCACAGAGTGAATATGAAACAATAATAGAGTCCACCGTGACTATTTATAGTTCTGATTGTAAATGGATACCCATCCGTGGACATCTGCTACCAACTTCTGATAAAGAAGGTGACAGTTACGTTGTCACCACTGCGGATTAAGATTGAATGATTCACAGCCCTGGCTCTACTGGCTCTCTACTCATTAGACCGAAACACAACAGTGCATGCACTTCTATTTTATTTGGAAGCAGAAACATTTAAGAGTTTCAACCTTTGCAGACTAACCTTTAGACAGAAAAAAGTCCTATCACTTAGTATTGTCCTATCACTTAGTATAGTCCTAACACTTAGTATAGTCCTACCACTTAGTATAGTCCTACCACTTAGTATAGTCCTACCACTTAGTATTGTCCCACCACTTAGTATAGTCCTACCACTTAGTATAGTCCTACCACTTAGTACAATCCTACCACTTAGTATAGTCCTGCCACTTAGTATAGTCCTACCACTTAGTATTGTCCTACCACATAATATTTATAATTTCATTTCCACAAAAGTGCAAATTAAAAATGAGATATAATAAAAGTAACATTAACTTTATTAATACATAGGCAAGCACGTTGGAAACTCCTGAAGAATTAATAGAATCAGGCGTTACTTTGCGGAAATCCATTATATTAAAGTTAGTAAAAATTACTTTGCGTACATCCGCTCAATGAAATAAAATGATGTTTGAAGAGCACTTCCCGCCTTTTATCAATTGTGTCCACTATCCCCATCACCGCCAATCCCTGCTAAGTACTTAGCGGACAGCCACCGCAGAGTCTAGTTCACCAGAGGATGCATCGTGCAAAGGTGAAACACGTGTCGTGTTGGAAGTAGTGGTGCTGGGATTAATGGTGATGGGGCGAAAAGTTTTGGTCACAATACATAAAGCTGGCTGCGTTACCCTCCGTTGTGTTCCCCCGTCATCACGAGTCGGACGCAAAAAGAGAACCGAGCAGATCGGCTTTGTCCTTTGCGGCATGGGCCACTGAGTCATCCAGTGCAGAGATGGGAGAGATGGCTAACAGAAGTTCCCTTGGACAGCCTTGGCGAGAGAGCAGAATGCACATGTTCCCGAAGAAAGTCGAACTAGTTTCTCTCAAATTCTGTCGATGTACTCTCTCTTTGCCCTGCAATGATATTTTTGAAGGACCTGGAGGCAGAATTATACTTCTTTTTAAGAGCGTTGGTATTTACATTCCGAGACATCGATGCGTCAGCCCCGGCCTGGTAGCACTTCTGCTTATGGTGTAATGCAATATTACAGGAGCGACCAAGCCATGGCTGGGTTCCGTCTCCGATAGGTACCACAGATAACATATAACATAAACGCTCACGTCTGTCACCCAGAGAGGTAAGCAGAGACTACAGAGTACCATTTAGCACGATCCTGACATACCTCTTCCAGATCCATATACCTACGCATACATGCTCGTCAGTTAAGGGTACTCTTACCACAGATGATGGAATAAAAAGTTCCATTCCCTATAGCATCACATCAGCAACAGATTCAGAAACAGCACTGGTATCATCCGGCGAGAAGCAAACCCGCCCAAGTGTAAGGCAAAAAAAATCACATCTCGTCCCAGATAGCTGACCTATAAAGTCAAACATGGCAGCAACCTGCAGAATGCAATCGCGATGGGAGCGTGAGTGGCACTGTAGTTCGGATCAGACAATGGCCCGAGGAGCCAAGAGGGGCATCGAAGGAGACCTGATAGCTATCCGGATGAGAGGTCACCAGAAGCTCCAACAGGGAAGGTATCATGATGTTCCACATCTGTTATTCGTGTAGACGCGGTATTCAGTTGGGTCATCCATATGCCAAAGCAAAGTCATAAACAGATCTACCCGCATGATCGGTTAAACGGGAACCAAGCCATTCAGCGTGATGGGCATTAAAATCACCAAGCATTACGATCTCTGCGGTTTGGACCTGTTATAGCACGCAGTGTGCAGCTATTTAAGACGTGGTCGATGAGTTACTGCTATGGGACCTATAGAGGCACCAGTAGATGCGAGGACGGTCTTCGCTGTCTACGCAGCCAGGTCCGTACCTTTAAGGGTACCGATGTGTAGAAAACAGATGTCCTCTCTGACGTATATGCCTTATTGCTCCGTTATCCCCAAGCAGGTTTAGTCTCTAGCGGAATTCCCCCCATACGTGCAACAGCAAAAGCTGCCACGTGGCTCAATTCGGTCTAATGAGTAGAGAGCCAGTAGAGCCAGAGCTGCGAATCATTCAATCTTAGTCCGCAGTGGTGACAACGTAACTGTCACCTTCTTTGTGAGAAGATGGTAGCAGGTGTCCACGGACAGGTAGCCATTTACAATCAGGACTATAAGTAGTCACGGTGGACTGTATAATTGTTTGTCACTTCAGTTTTACTTCTATATCTTGCCTCTTGTCGTAGATAAATTTTTTTTACATCTGTCTGTTCTATCAAGAGTTTTGAGATTAAGCTGGTAATTTCCTAAGTTGACTTTTTTGCCTCCCAGGGGGAAAACCCAGGCAGCAGGAGGCAGGATTGTCTTCTGATAAATTCAGATGAACGATATAGGTTAATTTTCTCGCAGGAAAAAAATCTTTTTTCTTCACTGAGCACTTCTTGAAATCACCTTTAAACGTATTTAATCCAGAGTTTCGTATCAACAATGAAATATTTAATTTAATAAATAAACAGTTACAGGTTTTCACCATGTGTGCTTACTACTTTCAACAAAATGTAGCTTTAAAAAAAAAGAAGATTAACAATGCTATAAACATTACTAATATTCCCCTTAACCACTCGTGGTAAGCTTAAATTGCTTGTGTTACGAGTGGTTCACGCCAATAGTCGAATGGTGGATTCGAACACACGGCTACTGTCGCTTAAATTTAATGACTTAATTTCCATTTTCGTTTATAATTATGTTCATTTCCAATTTATGTTCTATTTTTAGGTAGCAAATGGCATCAACGTCGGAAGATTTTAACCCCAACATTCCACTTTAATATACTCAAGAATTTTTCAAAAGTGTTCGAAAAGAAAAGCCGCAATCTGGTTCATAGACTAAAACAAATGTCTGAAGGATACGTGGACGTTTTTGCTGTTATTAGTGATTTCACGCTTTACACAATATGCGGTTGGTATAGGTTTCGGTTATATAAAAAGTATTGTTTTTTTGTACTGTAGGCATCCATCATAGCCTATTTCGAGTTTGTTCATAAATATATATGCGAAAAGAATCATAATATATATATATATATATATATATATATATATATATATATATATATATATATATACGAGGGTGGATTGAAAAGTACTCGGCCTAACCAAGAAAATAAACACATACTAAATCAGTTATATTTTTATTTTTCTACATAATCACCATCAAGTTCAATACACTTTTGCCACCTCCCCTTCCAAGCATTTAGACCGTTGAAAAAAAATGATTCTTCCTTAGAGTCAAAATATGCGTCTACAGCTGCTTTGACCTCGTCGTTTGTCGAAAATCTTTGACCGCCCAAGTGCTTTTTTAGGTTAGGGAACAGAAAGAAGTCTGATGGTGCCAGATCAGGTGAATACGGCGGATGCGGTAACAGTTCAAAGCCACAGTTGTGAATTTCAGCCATTGACTGTACTGACGTGTGAACACGGGCGTTATCTTGATGAAACAGGACTTTTCTTCCGAGCATTCCTCGACGTTTTTCTTTTATTTCCTCTCGTAAACGACGTAGTAAGGTGCAGTAGTAATCAGAGTTTATAGTCTGACCCCTTTCAAGATAATCAATCATAATCACACCTTTCGAGTCCCAGAATACTGAAGCCATCACCTTATTTGCCGACAAAATCGACTTAGCCTTTTTAGGGGGTGGTGAACCAGGTCTTCTCCACTGTTTTGATTGTTGTTTTGTTTCCGGTGTACAGTAATGAACCCATGTTTCGTCCATAGTAACAAAACGATTCAAAAATCATCTGCATCGGCTTCAAATAACTCCAAACAGTCGCGTGAAATAGTCAATCGCGTCCTTTTTTGTTCAACTGAAAGCAGTCGCGGAACCCACCTCGCAGACACCTTGTGGAAACCCAACTCGTTGATAATGATGTTTTGAGTTCGTTCATAAGAGATGCCTATAATCTCGGCTATCTCTCTAATTTTTAATCTGTGGTCTCCCATTATTAAATCAAGTACTTTTTTAATATTTTCGTCAGTAGTTGACGTCGAAGGCCTTCCAGAGCGGGGTTCATCTTTCACACTCTCTCTACCACGCTTAAATTCTGCTATCCATTTTTTGACGGATGAATATGACAGAGCACAATCGCCTAATGTACTGACCATGTCATCATGGATGGCTTTTGATGATAGCCCCTTCTTATGGAGGTACTTAATGACGGCACGCTGCTCGATTTGCTCCATTCGCGGAAATTATGTCAGATTACTTTTTTTAATAAATTTATAAAATCACAACTAATTATCGCACACGTTTCGAACTTCACACAATGAACTAGTCTGAACTGAACTAAATAATGTGGGTAAATTTGATTTTTAAAATTGAATGGATCTGTGTTAGGCCGAGTACTTTTCAATCCACCTAGATATATATATATATATATATATATATATATATATATGTATATATATATGTATACATATGTATATATATATATATATATATATTATATATATATATATATATATATATATATACATATGTTGTACTACTACAAATCCTTTCATATTAAAGTTACGTTTAATGTGCCGAATTTAAAACTGTTTTTTATATTGCAGAAACAGCAATGGGGACCCAACTCGATTTTGACAAGTCTAGAAGTAGCGTGGAATACATAGAATCAATTAAGCAAATTGGTAACCATTTTGTAAAGCGTCTTACTAAATTTTGGCTTCATCCTGATTTAGTGTTTTATCAGACAACAGTGGGCAAACAATTTGTCAAATGCTTGAATATAGTCCATTCATTTGCGGATAATGTTATTATGGAGAGAAAGAAGAAGCAGATAAATCATGAAGATTGTTTATTGATACAGAATTTCGACAACGATGCTGAACAAGGAACTAAAAAACGACCCGCCTTTTTAGATTTACTGATTGAAGCAGAGAATAAAGGAGAAATAAATGTGGAAGGTATTCGTGAAGAAGTAAATACATTCATGTTTGAAGTAAGTCGATATTCTATCTGATGAATAATAAATTTAGCTTTTCAAACGTTTTTTCTTCAGCCTTCTGAGAAATTAATGAATTATTGTTTATTTCATTGATAAGTTTTGTTTTGATTAGAGGAGTATTAAATTTATTATCGTGTATCTTACGTTATTTTTTGTTTGACGATAATCAGTGAAGGTTCTACATTGTTATTCAATTTAACAAGCTGTTAATTATTGATTCTATTAACAATAAAAATTGTTTTTGTTTAACTACAAATTAAAGAGTTACGGTGTTCCTTTAGGCAGCATCTTAGGGCCATTTGTTAAACAGAAATGTCAAGACCTAAGCAACAAATCATATTTGAATGTAGTTTGCGGACAATATCTTCATAAATTAAACATTACACAAAAATAGTAATATCATGCAAACTCTCAGAAAAAAAATCTCAGTTTAAGTAAGAATATAAATGTTTCCTTGTACAAAATATTATATTTGTGTATTTAGGAGGGATGATAGATATGATAAGGATATAGAACGACGAGTAAATGCAGAGAATAGGGTGAATGGAGCACTACACTCTATTACGAAGAATCATAATATGTCAAAAAGGCACGTATGGTAATTTATAATACTGTGTTAGTTCCTACTTTAAAGTATGGTAGTGTAAGCTGGGTGTGGCAGAAGAAGCACGAAAGTAGAATAAATGCTGTAGAAATGCGGTCTTTAAGGAGTATGCTAGCGTTGAATCTGAATGACAGGGTAAGCAATTGCGTGATAAGAGATAAATGTAGTATGCAAGATGTAGTTGTGACCAGGATTAAGAAAGGAATGCTTCGGTGGTTTGGTCATGTAGAAAGTATGAATGAGTAAAGAGTGACAAAGCAAATTTATATGGCAGATGTGAACAGCAGAGACGGGAAGGGATGCCCTAGAAGAAAGTTTATCGACCAAATTGGCAATATTTTGAAAATGGGCCACGTTAGAAGTACCCTTAACCGAGTAGATATATGGATGTAAAGGAGGCGAAAGAGGTATGTCAGGATCGTGCCAAATGGAAGTCCGTAGTCTCTGCCTACCCCTCTGGGTGACAGGCGTGAGTGTTTATGTATTATGTCTTAGGATAATAAACCGAAATCATGTTCATTTTTGCTCCATATCGTGACTTACTATACCTTAATGCACAACCGGGCATATTTTCTTTAAAAATATTTTTTAAATATATGAAACGATTGCGTCTTGACCTTTCGGTCAGTTTCGGTCAGAAAATCGGAGATAAATCATGTTCATTTTTGCTGCATATCCATCCACCATGTATATATATATATATATATATATATTTTATTTATTTGTTATTGTATTTACTGAAGCCGATTACAAAGTTGTTGCTGCTGCATAATTTGAAGATCAGGAAGAAAACACATAAACTATTGCAATATTGCCCGCCTTACCCGATGTGGATACTACTCAGCGACTGTAAAAGTATGATGAAACTGAGCAAGGATAGTCAGCTAGTACGACAGAAATTCACTCCCTTGTTTAAGTATTCCCTTTTATATTTCTCTAACGACAACAGTGACAGTGACAAAAGAGAGCTAGCAATGGAGACCGTTAAACAGCAATCAATTCAAGTTCTCCTTACAAGAAGGAGCTTGAAACAGCACATTTAAAAAAGTCATAATGGACTAGGAGCAGGAGGCTTTAAGGCATTAATGCCCCAGTACAGAAACGCAGCACAAACCTGTCACTTAAGTATTAAAAATCTCTTAAATTCGTTAGTCCATTTGTGTATAAAAATTAAAATAAATAAATATTATTTCGAAATGCTACAATTTTGGTAGGAAAAGAATCATGGACGAAAACGGTACGAACTGACATTGAGTATTTAATGCGCAAAAAAGAGCATCAGAACGATATGAGCTTATCCATCATAAAAATCTTATCAACTATCTACCAATATTATAAAAAAACCTTTGTCATAAGCTCTGCCATCGTTATACATTAATGTGATTTTTATTTATTTATTTCCACATACATACTAGTATTACAGGTTTATAACGTAATGCAAGATTATATTATGAAACTAATTTAAAAACAATCCCAAAGAACATATAGAACTACAAATAACAAACAACAAACAAAGCAGCCGTTGTGAATTTATTCAGAGTGCAACAGAATAGGTCCACCCGATTGGACAATTGATTCAGATCAAATCGTCAGAAACCGTTTTCTGATGTTAACCTTACTTAAAAAAAGGGTTAATTTCAAATGAAGCTCAGAAATAAACTAACTAGCTAATAAGGTAAATTTATGTGTGTATGTATATAATACAACAAATTTATTATCCGACATAATTAAGACAGAAAATATGAATTAATTTAAAATATTGGTAAATTTCTAAAAAAAAGTATAACGTAAAAAATTGTTTGAATTCGGATTTTCATCCGCTCGCTTAGATGACGTATTTCCGAATTATCTGTCATTTTTTGCGGGGGAATGTTTTTCCACTACAATATATTGCCCGAGGAAATTTTATACTAGACAGTCAACCTTGTACAGCTCGAGGAACCTTTGTAGCCATTCATGAGGCACCAAGTCGTATACGATTCTTCAGTCTATCCGACGGGTGCGTTTAATCATCATCTTTATACGTGGTGGTAGAGACATGCTGCATTTATATTAGTAGTATAGTTATAGCGCGAATGGGTCGGCTCGACCGGGGAAGGACCACGCTCTCACAGAATACCAGCGTAAAATAGTAGCTTAATGCTGTTATGTTTCGTATGGTGAGTAGAGAACCGGAGACCCTTTTTACTGGAAATGAGGCATTCCATCTTAGTCCTCACGGGTGACGTTCCAAGCCACAGTTGTGAATTTCAGCCATTGACTGTACTGACGTGTGAACACGGGCGTTATCTTGATGAAACAGGACTTTTCTTCTGAGCATTCCTCGACGTTTTTCTTTTATTTCCTCTCGTAAACGACGTAGTAAGGTGCAGTAGTAATCAGAGTTTATAGTCTGACCCCTTTCAAGATAATCAATCATAATCATACCTTTCGAGTCCCAGAATACTGAAGCCATCACCTTATTTGCCGACAAAATCGACTTAGCCTTTTTTAGGGGGTGGTGAACCAGGTCTTCTCCACTGTTTTGATTGTTGTTTTGTTTCCGGTGTACAGTAATGAACCCATGTTTCGTCTATAGTAACAAAACGATTCAAAAAATCATCTGCATCGGCTTCAAATAACTCCAAACAGTCGCGTGAAATAGTCAATCCCGTCCTTTTTTTGTTCAACTGAAAGCAGTCGCGGAACCCACCTCGCAGACACCTTGTGTAAACCCAACTCGTTGACAATGATGTTTTGAGGTCATTCATAAGAGATGCCTATAATCTCGGCTATCTCTCTAATTTTTAATCTGCGGTCTCCTATTATTAAATCAAGTACTTTTTTAATATTTTCGTCAGTAGTTGACGTCGAAGGCCTTCCAGAGCGGGGTCCATCTTTCACACTCTCTCTACCACGCTTAAATTCTGCTATCTATTTTTTGACGGATGAATATGACAGAGCACAATCGCCTAATGTACTGACCATGTCATCATGGATGGCTTTTGATGATAGCCCCTTCTTATGGAGGTACTTAATGACGGCACGCTGCTCGATTTGCTCCATTCGCGGAAATTATGTCCGATTACTTTGTTAATAAATTTATAAAATCACAACTAATTATCGCACACGTTTCGAACTTCACACAATGAACTAGTCTGAACTGATCTAAATAATATGGGTAGATTTGATTTTTAGAATTGAATGGATCTGTGTTAGGCCGAGTACTTTTCAATCCACCTAGGTAGTTTGGGAAAATGCACTGTCCTAAGAGGAACCGGAAAGACACTTAGAATGTAGATTTTTTTAAATAATAATTCAGAATATATTTTGGTCCAGAACCGAGTTTGATGCCGCTCGGATCCAATGAATTTGTAAATTGCAATTTTAAGTGCTGATTTGCTACGTGCTCAGCGGTGAAGAAAAACATCTTGAGAAAACCTGCATGTATGAGAAATAAGAAAAAACTAAATATTTCGAAGTCATGGAAAGTCCGCCAATATGAATGCATTTCCTCACAGAAATGAACATTTCCTCTCAGAAATGAGACTGGGCACACCCACTAGTGGGACGTAACCTGTATGTTCGAAAGGCGAATTTAGTCGATTCGCCGGTTGGCTCGCGACGTAAAATGGCGGGATTGCAAATTTTTTGCCAATTTGCAAATTTTGCTATATTTTCACTTTGAGACAATATTTATGGATAAAACTTACAGGGATTCTTATTGAATGTATAGACTATCGAATAAAATTATTTTTAGTTGATAGAAATTGTAATAAAATTCATAAATTACCCTTTATAACATAGTAGTAGTAGATACTTCACTATTAGTCTAAAATTACTACTAATTTGAATTCTACATGTTTGTTTTTGGAGAAATCTATATGAAAATGTTTGGAAATATATATATTTTTTATATTTTATGTGTTTCTATTCGTTACTCATACCAAAATATATAAAAAAAAACGAAATTAATTTTTATCTGTATGAGATTTCCGAATAATATTTCAAATATATTTTTGTGTGAATTTGAAATAAACACAACGTCAAATTATTAGAAATATGTTATAAAACTATTTTAGTTACATTTTACTTTGGTCCAATCTGATCATCGCGAGTTCATTATATTTTAAGCTCAAAATCCTTGTCAAACATTCTTTTCTTGTCTTGGAACACGTAAAATTTAGTTTCATTTCACATTTAATTATTAAATTATCTAAAAGATTTTTAAATTTACTTGTTTGTGTACATTTTAGTGACAAGATATTGAGCGTTTTTTTTTCCAAATTGCAACTAAAACAATTACATGAATTTTAATGATTTCTAGTGTAAAGTGTTTCAACAGTTGTTTCTTACCAATATCGTATGGAGGCGGACTTAAAAAAGTGGAAGAAATGTGTGCGTTGAATAATTGAATAATTATTACAGGAGAAAATTTACGAAGAATGTAAAACTATATTCGGCGATACGGACCGAACGCCAAGTTGGTCTGATTTAACCGAGATGAAATATTTAGAAGCAACGGTTAAGGAGATATTACGGCTCTATCCTAGTGTACCATTCATTGGAAGAAAGATTACTGAAGATTTTATGCTGGGTGAGTGAACATGTTACGAACTTGTTCCTTGATTGAGAAACCAAAGGTTGAAATTTAAAGATGTCCTGGTTTCATGTAGTCGTGTGTTGAACACGAATATTTGGAAACTTTAAAACTTTTTTGTTCTTCTTTATTAACGCCAAGTAAATAATTAAATTTACGGTGTAAGACAAACTGTCACCCCATTTCGTTCCGTGGGTGTTGTAAGAAATAACTTTGTTAATTAGTTGTTTTAGATTTTTTATATTCGTTTTAATCTATAATGTGTGCGATGGAATAATGGGTCTTTGTTATCTGACAATAAATTAATTATTATTAATAGGTGACGTACTAGTGAAGAAAGGCGTTGAAGTACTAGTACACATCTATAACGTACATCGTCGTGAGGACATCTATCCGGAAGCAGAGGCTTTTAAGCCAGAGCGGTTCCTTAGTGGCGAAGTTCGCCATCCTTATGCTTTTATACCGTTCAGCGCCGGACCGAGGAACTGTATTGGTAATATTTTGATTAAATTTAAAACACTATTTTATACCATAAAACTAAACAACAATGCATTTTGTTCATTTCCAAACAAATTTTCTATAATCGTAGAAATTTGGTATTTTGCCATACTTTCTTAACACATCGTCAAGCGTGATACATCTCCCCTTTTGACCCAGGATCAAACATTATTTGACCGCGTTATGCAAATGTTTGGCCAAACCAATACCAGTGAAAGAGAGAGATCATTCTGTATAGCATAAATTACTTTTATATTTGTCGGAGATAGAGGCTACAACATAAATAGAAGTGATGGTAGACCCTATTATTAATTTTTTTTATTAAATAAAAATTTACGGATTTCATCGCGTTTAGTTATACTTATTTTTAAATCTGAAAATTTTATCCCGAGGTTTCAGATGCTTTGCAGCATTTATGGTTACGAAGGGACTGAGCTGTTTGACGTCTCTATGTCAAAGTTAACCCGGAGTACCTTTAGATTTTTAATTATTAATTTTGGTCTGATCTACGCAGAACGAGCTTACTGTATCTCTATTATAGTAGTGCGTGCATTACTGTGTTCCGGTCCAGGTATAGAAAACCAGTATATTTACTAACTATGAGGTAATCCATCTTAGCCTTTAGAGGTGATGCATCTGTAGCCTTTTTTGTTTAAAGTTTGCTGAAGGTCTTCACGGACTACAGAAGATCGTTTAATCTTTTATTTATTTGGGTATAAGAAAGATTTACGAGTGGCGGCCTCGTACCTGTGAACGCAGTGTACAGGAATTGCTGGATGCAGGTGGCTCAGGACCGTGTCTTATGGAATTCTTTGTAGGACACCTATGTTCAACCGAAGACTTGTTATACTGTAATGATGATAACGACGATAATTTGGGAAGTGTAGAAAGAATATGACAACTTATCTAAAAGTCAACTTCACCTGCATATATATATATACAACACGTAACATAATTAGAGACGCACTTTGAGAAAGTAGTTTGTTCAGAATCGTTTACTGAATCGATTCCTATCATTTTTAATAGGTATAGGTAATTTTTATCCCAAAAATAATTAAAACTACTTTATTTGCGTTTGTGGATTTGTACTGTGACCACAACATTCTTTCGGAATTAGTATAACTAATTTGATAAATAATCAGTGCATAAAAATGTTTAACTAAAAATTCAGTGTATGTATTATGATTATAACATAATATACTAATTGGGGTGTCTGAGGGTGTGCGTTAACAAGATTTGCGTCAAAGTAGAAGATTTATGAACTAAATAAAAAGCATAATTTTTGATGTACCTACAGGTCAGCGATTCGCGATACAAGAAATGAAATGTGCCCTCAGCGAGATCTGTCGACACTTCAAACTGGTGCCGAAGACGAAAGGGGCCATACCAACGCTTAAGTTCGATATTGTCCTTCGATCTGTCGATCCTATATATGTCAAGTTTGTACTTCGATAGCTAAATATAACATAAATGAAAATTTAATAAACACTTAGACAATTTCTTCATTTTTTTATCTTCTTTATATAATATATAAATAATTAAACATTCGTTTGTTTGAAATCTTAACTCTCTGAAGGTACTTCACCGATCGCTTTAAAGTTTTGTCGCAACGTTGCAGTCGACTAAAACACTTATGTATGTTACTTATTACTCTGTGTCAAATACTATTGTTTTTATATTTTGTAAAACAGCGCCATCTATTGATTTCCTTCTTTTCCATTTAACTAGATTGAACCCAAGCAACAGACATGCGTTGCTAAGGCTTAGTTGGGCTACAGCTGTTAATTTATACTTCACGCACGAGTCAAATAAAAATAGTTCTATTCCATAAGGGTTCAACATTTTGATTTGTAATTGAAGGTAGATGTAGATGTCTATGGGCCACAGAATTCACTTTTTTTGGCCCCCTTATTATATAAAAAACATACTAATCTAGTTTTTAATATAATTAGATGAGTATGTATTTTTAATCTTAAGGCTTTATGAAGTCTGAATGACCTTGCCGAATTGGCGACCGCAAAGATTTCAGCCGACGTCAACTCCCTCTAGCGGCTACGCTCTGTACTATTTACACAAGTGCAAACATTAAAAGACTGCAGAGGCAATAATTGGGATAGTGCCTTTTATTTTTACGTATCACTGAGAGTCATGTCACGTGCGTGGTGAACAGCGTCTTCAATTCTATTGCACGGTGTGCTGCCGTAACTTCGACCGGTAAGCATCAGGGGCGATCAAGTTTAAGTTTTAAGTACGTAAGTGTTTATATTATACTTGTTGAATAGTATTTTTTCTATCGTGTACATAATATGCAATATTCATTTTCTTTTCAGTTGTGGAAGGGTACGTAATGCTGAGAAAAATATTACGTGGGGGCGAGGAAAACATAAAACATCTTTGTACCTAGTTTTAAATCGTTTGTAATGTTCCAGTGATTGTCAGTCATTTCATACGTCACGTTTCTATAGAGTTTAGTTTGTTTCAGATACAGCAAAATAAAAAAATAAATATGAAATATTATGGGAATCATTTATTAAAATAATAAACAAGCTGCAAGGTTTAACTGATATAGTTTCATGTAAACACAGTTGTAAAATTGCTGTTCTCATTTTTATCAATGACGAATGGATGAATCAACGTATTTTTTATATAAAATATCTTTATTTAAAATGGAGTATTTTACCATCTACTTACAAATCGTCTAAAATTTGATAAGAATAAATTTGTCTGTTCTTATCTTCTTGTGAACATAATTTATTACAGAAATATTGTTTACAACTGGCGTGGTTTCCAAAAGCATAATTGAGTGTCTCAGCTATATACCGTCCATTAGCTCCTTAACATTTATGCCATAAATTGTTGTTTTTTGTTATATCTTGTAACCTTTTTAATGACTGACGCAAAGTTTAAGAGTTAAAGACAAAGGTTATAATTTGTTAAATTTGTTTCTATAACGTATTGTGTCTCTTGTATGATTTTGCATTGTTTTTAATTTTGCCACAAAAGTTTTTACAAAACGTATTGTGTAAATATTATTTTTCTACAGTGATTCTCATCTTAGTATCAACGTGATTATGGGATCTTATATTGTCTATATACGAACTCACTCCAGATTTTCGGAAACCTCGTAAAATTATTTCTTTTTCCATACCAGTTGATGGGTTTGAGTTTGTTTAGGCTCTATATAACACTATTCGTGCTCTTTGGCTGTAGTTTTTTCAAATTCATAATCATAAACAGTATATATAGAACATCTCCAAACTATTATTCGGAGTGTTGCCCGTTCCCCGGGCACAACACCTTGCCCGGCGGGAGATCTCCCTTTTTCCTTTACGGCCACAGTGGTGACCCCGACGTGATCTGAACACGCAATCAAACAACCTTCGGAAACTTTAAGCTTCATCATCGTTATAAAATACTCCAACCGTTCGCTCCCGAGCAGATATCGCCTGCAGTCTTCATATCCTGCAAGCCATCTAGCTTCTCAAGGTTCATTGCAGCACTGGAATAATAATGATTCTTGTTCCTTCAAGCTACTCTCTGCGCTATACAGTGTTCGGCACGGCTCTGAGCCTTACTGCTCGCCTCTGCTTCACGGCACTCTCGCAGATTACTTGCCTTCTTCTCAACTCACCGCAGACTACAAGGCAATCTCCTGACACTTGCACATTCGTCGGCAACGAGGCTGCACTATCGACCTCCGGTCTGAGCAGGGGGGTGATGTGGCGTCGCGCCGCAAGCGAAACACACCGAAACCTAAATCACGCTATCAAAAATTCAGAATCATAAACGGTATATATAGAACATCTCCGAAATATCACTCGGAGTGTTGGCCGCTCCCCGGGCAGAACACCTTGCCCGGCGGGAGATCTCCACTTTTCCTTTAAGGCCACAACATCATGTGACCGATCATCTGCCATACGCAGTCGTTTGCCGTTTGCGTTTGCGGACATTTCACAGCGGTCTGTTGTTATAACGCATTGGCAGCAATATAAACTACTAAAAAACTTCAGTCAGATTTCGCTAATGGGTGCTTTGCTATTCGACGGCACGGCTACAGATTGATTCCGCTGATTCTCCCACTGATTCCGTCGCCGGTGATGGAACAGCAAGCTTCCCGCTTCGTGCCGGCCGGTAAAACTGCATGAGTATTGTGTACGTATTGTAGCCGAGTGCCTGTGCGGTGCGCGGGCTGAGGTAGAAGGGACGCGTTGAGATTGACCCCCGAAATTGACTTGTGAAATGATGAAATAACTTCTCATTCATACAGAAGTAGTTAAGTTAGTAAAATATTTTTTGGAGTCTATTTTGAAACAGGGTGTAATATGTTCCTTCCAAGTATCTTATTTTTAAGATTGGATAAATTCAAAATTTGAGTTATCTGGTTACACTAACAAATACAATGACTTGACGTGATCATTTTTACGTGTTGTAGACTGTTTGTGTGTACCGAAGTATGTGTTTGTACTGCCCAAAAACCGAGCGTGGATCGGCACCGGCATTGGCCCAGTGGAAAATGGAAGAATTTCGTTTAGTATGTAGAAGAGTGAACGCGTGGAGTAACACTTTCAGTTACGGCCGAGAATTGGCTAAAGGAAGAACATCACATAAAAAGATTGGAAAATGATTATTGGACACGGAAATTGGACTCGATTGACTCAAGTACCAGAATTTAATTTTCCAAGATTATTATGTATAAAAAAATTAATGTCTATAGAGTTTGTTGTCTTTCTATGCCTATTTGAAATAATAGTTTTTAACGTTATTAAATTTCAAATTAATTTTCACAATACGTGAGCAAACCGGGTTCGATCCCCGCCTGCAACAATGAAATCGTTAATTGCAATTTTAAGTGATTTACCACGTGCTCGGCGGTGAAGGAAAATATCGTGAGGAAACCTGCATGTATGAGAAATAAGAAAAAAATTCGAAGACATGTGAAGTTCGCCAACACGCATTGGGGCAGCGCGGCGGACACTTCCTTGCCCTAAAACCCTCTCAGAAATGAGGGGAGGCCTGTGCCCAGCAGTGGGATGTATATAGGCTGTAACTTTGACTTTAACTTTAACCGTTATTTAAATAAATATAAGCTTACTTTTAGGAGATTACTTTTTTTATACGTGGTAGAGTCGCGCTGCAGCTATTACGGTTGTAGAATGAATGGGAAAGGACCACGCTCTCACAATACCGCAATCTCAATACCCGCGTAAAATGCTGCTGTGTTTCGTATAGTGAGTGTAGAGAACCGGAGACCCTTTTATTGGAAACGAGGCATTACATCTTAGTCCTCACGGGTGATAACGCATCCACATTTTGATTATTTTTGATAGATGTTGATGTCTATGGGTCACAGCAACCACTTATAGGTATGTCAGGTGGACTGTGTGCTCGTTTGTCACCCTATGCTAAAAAAAGTTTTATTTGATAGTCTTCTTGAATAATTAACTTATCTATACTTATAAATACAATTGTCTCTGTAATATAGAAATAACTCCCTTTTATTGAGCTCATCCGTCTGCTTCCTCTGTCTGTCTGTCTGTTCAGACTAATCTTCGAAATGGATGGAGAGAGCAATGCCACGAGTGATAATTTAAAAAAATAGTCTTTATTAAAATAGAAAAATAATACGATATAAATGATCTTCGATGATTATATTAAGTCTAAATACCTCCACATTATTTTGAGTGGAAGAGCCTTGCTGTTTTTTTTTTTTTTTTTTTTTTTTTATAGAAGAGGGGGCAAACGAGCATGTGGCTCACCTGATGTTAAGTGACTACCGCCGCCCATGATCAACCGCAACACCAGGGGAATTGCAGGTGCGTTGCCGGCCCTTTAGAAAGGAGTAAGCTCTTTTCTTGAAGGTCCCCAGGTCGTATCGGTCCGGAAAAATCACCGGTGGTAAATTATTCCACAGAGAGGTTGTACGCGGAAGAAAACTCCTTTTGAAACGTACAGTGGTGGACCGCCAAGCATCCAGATGGTGTGGATGGTATCGGGACGTTTGCCGTGTAGTGCGTTCACGAAATTTGGCGGCTGGGATTAATCCGAACAATTCCTCAGAGCACTCCCCGTGATAGATGCGATAAAATACGCAAAGAGATGCAACATCTCTTCGCAGCGCCAGTGAATCGAGCCGATCGGAAAGCACTCGGTCGTCGACGATTCGAGCCGCTCTGCGCTGGATGCGGTCAAGTGGAAGGAGCTGGTACTGGGGAGCCCCAGCCCAGAGATGGGAACAGTATTCCATGAGCGGCCGAACCTGCGCCTTGTAAAGTTGCAGGCGGTGTGCCGGCATGAAATACTGTCCCGCTCTGCTGAGCACGCCAAGCTTTTTAGAGGCCAATTTGGCCTTCCCTTCCAAGTGACCACGAAACTGCACGTCACTCGATATGTCGACGCCGAGGATTCCGATACTGGCTGAGGCAACAAGGGGAGTGCCTTGAAACTGAGGAGATACG